ATCATCCAAGTAGGCGCAGGCATACTCCTGAAACCCATCCAGTAGCCGATCTACCATCCTCTGAAAGTTAGCCGGGGCATTCTTCATCCCGAATGGCATGGCCTTAAACTGATACAGGCCAAACGAGGTGACAAATGCCGACTTGTGGATGGCGTCCTCGGCTAATGGAATTTGCCAGTACCCCTTGCACAGATCTATTGTGGTGAGGTACTGGCCTCTGGCCATTTTGTCTAGGAGCTCGTCTATCCGGGGCATAGGGTAGGCGTCTGAGGTTGTTTTATCATTTAGCCTCCGGTAGTCTACACAGAAACGGGTCGTGCCGTCCCGTTTCGGTACTAGTACTACCGGGGAGGCCCAGGGGCTGTCAGAGTGTTCTATCACCCCTAACTGCATCATTTCCTCAATTTCTTTCTGAATATTTTCTTTAACTGCTTCGGGTATGCGATAGGCAGTTTGGCGAAGAGGGGTCTGGTCTAGGGTTTCAACTTTGTGAGTGGTTAACAGACTGTACCCTGTAGGTTGGAAAACGTGGCCCCCTTGTCCTGGATTAGTCTTTGGACCTGGGTTCGCTCCTGGGGGTCTAACCGTTCTCCTAACTGTACTTCTCCCAGGTCTCCGCTCTGGCCCTCTAGGTCTAGGAGATCTGGGAGTGGCAAATTATCATAATCTTCAGTGGCAGGTGCACAAATCGCGGTTACCTCTTCCGTGCGCTCGTGGTATGGCTTGAGCATGTTCACATGGAGCATGTGCTTGCCTCCCGTGCCTGTGACCGCACCGATCACAAAGGTGGTATCACAAACCTGCTCTACCACCTTGTATGGGCCCTGCCAGGAAGCCTGCAGCTTGTCCTCGTGGACAGTGTCAATCCATATCTGCCAAGTGACCCTATGTAGGGGGAACAGTCTCTATTCTGCTCTGTGTCAGTGTGTATCATGGTCTCTGAGGACAGGTGTCAATCCATATCTGCCAAGTGACCCTATGTAGGGGGAACAGTCTCTATTCTGCTTTCTGCCAGTGTGTATCATGGTCTCTGAGGACAGGTATCAATCCATATCTGCCAAGTGACCCTATGTGACCCTATTCTGCTCTGTGTCAGTGTTTATCAGGTATCCTTAGGATAGGTGTCAATCCATATCTGCCAAGTGACCCTATGTAGGGGGAACAGTCCCTATTCTGTTCTGTGTCAGTGTGTATCAGGGATCCTTAGGATAGGTGTCAATCCATATCTGCCAAGTGACCCTATGTAGGGGTAACACTCCCTGTTCTGCTCTGTGTCAGTGTGTATCATGGTATCTGAGGACAGGTGTCAATCCATATCTGCCAAGTGACCCTATGTAGGAGGAACAGTCCCTATTCTGCTCTGTGTCAGTGTGTATCAGGGATCCTTAGCACAGGTGTCAATCCATATCTGCCAAGTGGACCCTATGTAGGAGAACAGTCCCTATTCTGCTCTGTGTCAGTGTGTATCAGGGACCCTTAGGACAGGTGTCAATCCATATCTGCCAAGTGTAGGGGGAACAGTCCCTATTCTGCTCTGTGTCAGTGTGTATCAGGGGCTTTGAGGACAGGTGTCAATCCATATCTGCCAAGGACCCCAAGGTAGGGGGGAACAGCTCCCTCTGTGTCAGTGTGTATCAGGGATCTTTGAGGACAGGTGTCAATCCATATCTGCCAAGGACCCTATGTAGGGGGAACAGTCTCTATTCTGCTCTGTGTCAGTGTGTATCATGGTCTCTGAGGACAGGTGTCAATCCATATCTGCCAAGTGACCCTATGTAGGAGAACAGTCTCTCATTCTGCTCTGTGTCAGTGTGTATCATGGTCTCTGAGGACAGGTGTCAATCCATATGTGCCAAGTGACCCTATGTAGGGGAACAGTCTCTATTCTGCTCTGTGTCAGTGTGTATCATGATCTCTGAGGACAGGTGTCAATCCATATCCTGCCAAGTGACCCTATGTAGGGGAACAGTCCCTATTCTGCTCTGTGTCAGTGTGTATCAGGGGCTTTGAGGACAGGTGTCAATCCATATCTGCCAAGTGACCCTATGTAGGGAACAGTCTCTATTCTGAGTTCGTGTGTATCAGGCTCTGAGGACAGGTGTCAATCCATATCCGCCAAGTGACCCTATGTAGGGGAACAGTCTCTATTCTGCTCTGTGTCAGTGTGTATCATGGTCTCTGAGGACAGGTGTCAATCCATATCTGCCAAGTGACCCTATGTAGGGGGAACAGTCTCTATTCTGCTCTTTGTCAGTGTGTATCAGGGATCCTTAGGATAGGTGTCAATCCATATCTGCCAAGTGACCCTATGTAGGGGGACCAGTCCCTATTCTGCTCTGTGTCCGTGTGCATCAGGGGCTCTGAGGACAGGTGTCAATCCATATGTCAAGGTGTCAATATGTCATATGTCAGGTGTCAATCCATATTCATTGTGATTTAGGAATGTTAGTTGATTTCTGCCCTTTATAGATTAAAACCAGACTCTGCATCAACTGTGTAATTTTCCATAGGAGTTTTGCCATGGATCCCCCTCCGGCATGCCACAGTCCAAGTGTTAGTCCCCTTGAAACAACTTTTCCATCACTATTGTGGCCAGAAAGAGTCCCTGTGTGTTTTAAAATTCGCCTTCCCATTGAAGTCTATGGCGAACCGAAAATTTTGTGTTCGCGACATCACTAATCCTCAGGAGTTGTGCTTTAGGTGCATTCAACAGCCATGAGGAAAAGTAGCAGCTATTCTCCCCTATGTAGCTGTTGACGTCAACTTCTTTTTTTTTTTTTTTAAAGAGCAAGTTTTCAATTAATTATCTTTAACACATATTTTTAAATTAAAAAAAATCTACTGATGATTTACTAAAATTACAGGTGAGCCTAATGCCCTAATCATTCCCATTTAGATGAGTTAGAAAAGTGACTAGTGATTGTTCGTCCCCTTTCCAAATTAAAAATATATCATCTTTGTAACGGCGGTAGACTACGAGGTTTGCATCCCACCTATGGTCACCGTGGATAAATATAAGTTCACACAGGGACATGAGCAGATTCGCATAACTGGGTTTGAACCTCGTGCCCATCACCGTTCCACAGATTTGTAAAAAGAACTGTTCTCCAAACCAGAAATAATTGTTGGTTAAAATCCACCGAATCCCCTCAATGATAAAATCAATTTGACAATCTAAATATTTTCTTGAATGTTCTAAAAAATACCTCTTTTTAGCATGGCTTTCTCTTGATAACTTATTTTAAAACTTGATTTTTTGCACCCACAGCCCCCTTTCCCCCCTCCCCCCCATGACAGTTAGTTACTACGACCTCCGTGGTGGGACAACATATAGTAAACACTACATAAGGTGCACACCATAACATATAGGGACTAACTGCAGTATGACAAATGTGACCTCCTGAATTGGACCACTAAGAGCACCGAAACCAAACACCACCCTGGAAAGAAAACTTGGGGGTACTCAGGGGACAACCTAACAAACACAATACATAAGGTGCACGCTTCCACATCCAAGTATAAACTGCAGAGCGACAACTGCGACCCCCCAAAATGGCCAGACAAGGGCAACAAAACCAAACTCTGGACAACCTCCTCCCCCCCTCAAAACCCCTAATCCTCCCCTCTGTTCATCCTACTGTGCACAGCACCTCAACCCCACTAGTCAAACATACAGGTGATACTCAAAAAATTTGAATATTGTGCAAAAGTTCATTTATTTCAGTAATGCAAAGTAAAAGGGGAAACTAATATATGAGATAGACACATTACATGTAGAGCAAGATAGTTCAAGCCATGATTTGTCATAAGTGCAATAATTATGGCTTACAGCTCATGAAAACCCCAAATCCACATTCTCAGTAAATTAGAATATTTTGAAAAGGTGCAATATTCTAGGCTCACAGTATCCCACTCTAATCAACTAAGTAAGCCATAACACCTGCAAATGGTTTTTGAGCCTTTAAATGGTCTCTCAGTCTGGTTCAGTAGGAATCATAATCATGAGGAAGACTGCTGACCTGACAGATGTGCAGAAAACCATCATTGACACCCTCCATAAGGAGGGAAAGCCTCAAAAGGTAATTGCGAAGGAAGTTGGACGTTCCCAAAGTGCTGTATCAAAGCACATTAATAGAAAGTTATGTGGAAGGGAAAAGTGTGGAAGAAAAAGGTGCACAAGCAGCAGGGATGACCGCAGCCTGGAGAGGATTGTCAGGAAAAGGCCATCCAAATGTGTTGCTACTTGGGCAGAAGATGGCACTTATGGATATAGAACTCCGATATATATGCTCAACCGCATTATTAGACTACAGGCGGTGGTTGAGATTATTACTAATGAGACAGCTCAAGCGCTTAATCTTCTAGCTAAGCAAAATACCAGGATGAGATCAGCCATCTATCAAAATAGATTAGTTTTAGATTATCTATTAGCAGTGGAAGGAGGTGTATGTGGAAAGTTTAACCTTAGCAACTGTTGTTTGCATATAGATGATGAAGGTCAGGCAGTGGCTGAACTCACTAGTCACATGGTTAAACTTGCGCATGTACCGACTCAGGTCTGGAATGGGTATAATCCTAATAGTTGGTTTGGAAGCTGGTATGAGCAGCTTGGAGGAATTAAGACTTTAGTAGGAGGAGTAGTGTTTATCATATTCTTATGTCTTTTTCTGCCTTGTCTAATTCCATTAGTGGTAAGGTCCCTACGTAGTATTATAGAGAGTACTATAGAGAGAAAGACAGCGGCTCATGTAATGGCTGTCTATAGATATGATTCCCTAGCCCAAAGAGAATATATTCAGGATGAGGAATGTTGAAGGAGTTTTTAAGATGCTTACAAGGTCTACTCTGGTTCAATGGCTACTTGAGAGATGTAGGTAAAACTGTGATTGGTGATGCATTTGGAATAATTTGTATCAGAGGCATCAAAGGGGGGAATGTTGTGGAATTTCGGTGAATGTAAATTTAGTAGGCCAAGATTTCCATGTGGCATATGTGTATGTTGTGTCAGTTAGTCAGCTACACGTAGCTAGGATACTGTCATCAATCTGCTGAGCATGTGCAGGAATGCAGGAACTGAAATTGCACTTATTTCCTTTGTCTTGGATGGGCCATGTGGTTTAACTAGATGTAGAAGTCTATATTCTGCTCATTGATTGGTTAAAGGTATATGTGGGTGTAGCTATTAATGGGAGGTGTTATAGTGCTATATAAGGAATGTACACTATGTGTTGGTCTCTCAGATCATTTGGAACAGGAGTTCATCTGAGACCCGATCAGTAATGTGAATAAAGGCCTCTTACTTCCTGAAGACTTGTGTCCATATCTCTGTGTTTGGCTTCTGCATGCTTACACGGTAACACTTGTGAAATTGTGCGTGTGGAGATGTCATATTGTGTGTATAGGGGTATGTGTTTTGTGGGGCTGCTTGTGGTATGTGAATTGTCAGTGGTGTAGTGCTTGTGGGGACTGTGTGTGTATTTGTGTGTTGTATTATTTGTTTGAGGCAGAGTCTTTTTTTGCAGCTCTGTGTAAATCTAGCAGTGTGGATGACTTTCCTGGGAACCAGTAGTGACTGGGCTGTCCAGGTACAGGTCAATGGTAGGTGCTGCGATAGCTGCTATGGGCTGCTGTATTCCAGTGTGGATTACCGTTCACAAGTGCTAGGAGGAAGTGATCTTAAATCAACTCCTCTAGATGTTGCAATGTGTAAATTGAGAATGATCCTTTACCACCTGCAATCACAGCTCAGTTTGTGCAAGCAGATATCTAAAGTCCTACTGGGACTGCTGATAGACCAGAACCTGTTTATCCCTGGCAGCTTTGAGTGCTATGCAAGGCACCTCAAGTGATATGTATGGTATATGTGCCATAGGTTGCCGACACATGCCTTAAACTGGTATTTTTACTAAATAATTTACCAATAGCCATACCAAAGTCATTCTTTCAAATGGTACAATGCATCTTTTATGCGGGCTGGAAAAAGACCACACATTGCACTTTGTCTAGAGCGAAACAGATGAGACGATTAGACCTACTAAATATATTATACTATCATTATGCTCCGCCTGGGATGAATATCCGATTGGGTACACAACTCACTGAGTAAACTATGGATTCCTATAGAACATGCTTATATCTCCTTCCTCTTAACACTCTGATTGGTTATTTATCCACCAATCAGAGTGTTATGAGTCAAATTACACAGCGTCCCCCAGCATCTAACTTAGGGCCCCCACCGTCAGCTCAGGGGTGGGGGCCGGGGGGAGGACAATAGGTCCCCCCCTTATTCTAAATTTAGGGCCCCCACCCGCTGCTCAGAGGTGGGGGCATGGGGGGAGGACAGTAGGTCCCCCCTCATTTTTTATGTAGGACCCCCACCCACCGCGCAGGGGTGGGGGCAATGGGGGAGGACAGTAGGCCCCCCTCCTCCTTCTTATTTAGGGCCCCCACCCATGCTCAGGGGCGGGGGCCGGGGGAGGACAGTAGGTCCCCCCTCATTGATATGTAGGGCCACCACTCATTGTGCAGAGGTTTGAGCAAGTGGGGAGGACAGTAGGTCACCCCCCCTTATTCTAACTTAGGGCCCCCACCCACCGCTCAGGGGTGGGAGCCAAGGAAGAGGACAATAGGTCCCCCCTTATTCTAAATTTAGGGCCCCCACCCACTGCTCAGGGATAGGGGCTGGGGGGAGGACAGTAGGTCCCCCCCTTATTCTAAATTTAGGACCCCCACTGCTCAGGGGTGGGGGGAGGACAAAAGGTCCCCCCCTCATTGTTATGTGTGGTGGGTGGGGGCCGGGGGGAGGACAATAAGTCCCCCTGCCCTTATTTTACTTTAGGGCCCCCACCCGACGTTCAGGGGTGGGGGCCAATAGGTTTTTTTTGGGGGGGGTTTAGTGAGCAGCCGCTGGCTGTTCACTCTTTACTAGACATGCCCCTACTCGTGGTATAGTGAGTAGGGGCTGAATTTACTAATACTAAGTAATCTTTACTTAGTATTAGTAAATGTGACTGAACGTCCAATTTAGGTCTTTCAGCCTTTTAGTAGATAGCTCCCTAATACCGTGGGAATTATGGAGTTACCTACTAAGCGGCTGCTTATTTTATGTTATTTTAAGTTATTTTAAGTGATTCCCCTATCTACATTTGTTTGCAGGGCACTTGTCCTACTCTTACCCCCATTTTACATCCTTTTGCAGCCCTCTAGCCCTTTCCAGGACTTTTTTAGAGGCATTTTAGTGCCCAAAAGTCCGGGTCCCCATTGACTTCTATGGGGTTCGGGTTCGGGGTCAAGTTCGATCACGAACTTGGACTTTTTTTCGAAGTTCGGCCGAATCCGCCAAACCCGAACATCCAGGTGTCCGCTCAACTCTATTTATGATTCAACATCTGAAAATATACCACAATGCTATATTACTGAGGGAAGAAGCAGAGAAAAGTACCAGGGCCGGCAACAGGTCTACTGTTGCTGTATCTGATTATGCACGTTTGTCACAATTTCCCACTAGAGCTGCTATTCCACTGCTATTACTGGCCTTGAGTAAAGCAGGGTAATAAGTAGGATAATGCCAGAAGTCAACATAGGCAGGTTGGACAAGAATAGTCACACCCTTTACCACCTGGAGAATAAAATAAATTAAAATAAAAAAATAAATAAATGCTACTGTCAATGTCACTAATACTCACTTTAATTTACAATTGTTTTCAAATGTCTTTTTTTTTTATTGAATACTTTGTTGAATTAAGCATAGAGGTTACAGAAAAGCAAGGTACATGTTAGTAAGCATCACATATGCTAGACATCATACATATTTAATACCCATAGTAATTTACAATTGTTTTACTGATTTGAGATGTATTTATTTATTTATAGTATAAATGGATTTGCAGTGTGCTACTGAGCCATGGCTTGTGCTCTGGAAACAGTGTGGCTTCAGATTGCTGTACAAGCAAACTGTGCCTTTACTGAGAGATGCAGGTCTGTTTTGAAATTCTTTAAAAAAAAAAAGGTATTCAAAAATATGGTGATGGTACTGGGTACTGGTGCTTACCACATTGTTCTCCCAGCATATTAAAAATAAATAAATGACTATTCAGTTACTCCTTCTCCCCCCTGTTTTCCAGTGACATACAATGTGGGTTTGTCCTATCTGACTGAGTCTTGTGGTGCTTACTAAAGACAGTTTGTATAAGCTGATATGGCACTGTTTTTTTCACATTTCTTTTTTAAAGGGAAAAGTGAGTTGGCATGGGCAACTAATGACCCACTCACCCTTTCCACCATGAGAAGATCAAAGTTTTCCCACACATTCTGTTCGTAGTGTTATTGACACTACATGACATCAGTGTGGGAAAAACACCTGTGGTTTATAATCAGCTTCTACCAAATGCATTTATTAATTTATTTTTTCATTGAAGGACTGTCACTAGAGACATAATTTGTGGGAAAGCTTTGTTCTTCTCAAAGTGAAGGGTTTGGGTCAAAGTGAAGGGTGTGGGTCAACTGAACACTTACATTGTCGATTAATGTTTGGATGAATGTTTATGCCCTTGTTTATGTTTATGAGAAAGGCAGTTTGTCCGCCGAAACACGCGTTGGGCTATTTGTGATATGATTATTTATTATTTACTAGTACTTTGGGTTGCTTTATTTGTAGTGGTGTGCCCAGATATCTTATTGATCGGCCGGTCTTTATCAATAGTTGTGGCACTTTACATAGAGTGGGGATAATTATAGTGGAGGTGTCTCCTCTTTTTGTGGAGGACTCCACTGTGTACTCTTTCTTTCTCCCCCTTTATTTTTCAGTATACATTCTCCTTTCTGTCTTTTCGATTTCCTTTCTGTATGACAGGACCTTAGGGCATTTTCTTTATTTTTGAATTGTTGATTATATAGAGAGGAGAATTTATATTCCATCTTCTATTGCTATCTGCATTAGGACACAGTGTTTTTCAATCATTCACAGTACTATTTATATTGTGAGGATACTATGACACATTGTTTCCACCAATTACCATTACAATTGTTACAAGTGTGGTAACTTTGTCTCAAAGCTCACATTGAGTGTTTCAACAGTGAATGATTTGTGGGTATTATTCAATGTACAATAGTATCATTGTTTTTCTCCTTGGGACATTATACTTACATGCACTATACTCTATTTAAATTGTTTTTGGTTACATCAGCCTGTAATTTCATCTATTCATCTAGGGGTAGCTGTAGTGGGTGGATCCCTCTCGTCTTGATACAAGAGGATCTTCCTTCTCTCTCTCTTTTTTTCTAATGGTATTTGTAGGGTTATGCCCTTTATGCTACCCTTTTAACCCATTGTTTGTACTTTGTGGCAGGGCTTTTGTTCCCTACCAGGTGGTATATATTTTCTTTGTATAATGTTTGGATGAATCCCCTATTTCGAACTGAAAATGACTCCTACTACCCATTTTTAATAATACAAAGATATTATATTAAGATATCAAAAAGAAATAAGAAAATTAAATCGAGCATTATGCATGGTTTACACTTTCTATTGACAGTATAGTTTTGTCAAAACAAAATTGGCATTGTAAAAATGGCTGATATTGTGTAGAATTTAGGACATGCAATATTTTGCCATTTTTGCAAGTTAGCACCCTCATTTGACATTTTCTTTCTGCTGATCTAGTTGTCCCAGTGACCTTTTACAACTCACCAGGAGGCCTCCCAGACTATCTTGTGGTGAGATCAAACCATGGCTTTATCCCAGAATTTATTTTTCTTATATAGATTATTTTTTTTATTTTTTTTCATTTTATTTTTTTTACATATTTTTATTTTTTTTGAGATTTTGATATATTTTTCCATGGGATTTACATCTTTATACTCAGGATAAGAATATTCCTATTGATTACAAGACAATTCTACAAGGGTTATTTCCCCATTTTATTATCTATATACCCCTTTTTTGTCTCAGAGTATCCTATTATTATCAGAAGATAATTGGCTGGCAGTATTATATATTTTGTTTTGTGTTGCACTCTAGACTGATTATATAGGTATATCAAGCACGGTACCTTCTTTCTTGTACTTGAGCTGTGTATAGGTAGACAACATTTCTGGTGATCTGACATTAAGTGTTTTATACTCTCTTTTATAGTGGTGGGCAACCCATTGAACAGGACTATCATCATACATTTGGTATCTTTACACAGGACAGACGAGTACTATTTCCAGTTTTA